TTAATCAGAAGCATGAGCAATGCTCAGATAATACAGATTAAATTATTGTAGCTTTTTAGAATTATGCATTTTTCACGTTATCAGTATGTAGCGTTATCAGTATCATAACACAATCAGTTTCCCGTCCATCATATAACAGCGCCTATCAATCTACGTGCAATATTGCGATTTGAATCGCACAGAGGCATATTTCATGCAAATTTGTTTCAGTTAGCTGTATTTTGATCGATGGAACCTCGAATAGCTCGGTTGTAAAATGAATAAGGACATGAACATTAAATTCGTAAATTTTTACATTTCCAATTAGGAGGCTAAATATAATAAAAATCACGTATTTGTTGTTACTATTATTTTAACAACGTTTTTGTTACTATTATAATATTAACTTGCAACGCATGCGTTAAAGTTACTATTACACACAGATACTTCATGTCTCATATTAAAATATTAAACTCAAAATATTAAAAAATATTTATTCAATTGTTCTGTGATATTATACTGAAGTATAGAATCCTAAATACTAATAAGGAAATAAATTAAAATAAATAAATTTATGATAAAATTTCAAAAACATCTGAAAATTCAATTATAATTAATTTTTTAATAGCAGTTGAAGAACAGTTTAATCAAAACACTTTCAAAGAAAATGATTTATGATAACGCAGTAGACGTAAGATATAAAAATGCAGTTGCATCATCTGTTTCCCTATTATACATCAATAATGTACCACATGAATTCTGTACCAATTGGCATCCACTTATTGTATAATGATCAATTAACAAACTTGAAAATTATTCAGCGTTACGAACAAAGGTAGTTTCCAATTCAATGTATCTACTAAATATTACATGATTCGAATATCAACTTTGTTGCCAAGAAGTTCGATTTCGCCGAAAGCATCATCAGAATTTATTCTCCTTCGCTGCAAGGCTCAACAATACTCGCCCACATATCTGCTGGATTATTTAACACTTCGAGTCTAGGTCGAGCTCCCCTGAGAGTCTGATATTTTCCACAAGAGCAGGTTTACGACTCCCCATAAATTGTCCGCATTTCAGGAAAGTTTGTCTCAAATTCGAAATTATTAGATCTTCGAGCTTACACATTTTGTAGAATAGATGAGAACGAAAGTAGGAGATTCAAATCTGAATTCCACGGTATTCCCAAAAGATACAAATTTTTATTTTCATAAAGCGATTCATTTCCTGAAATTGTGCACTTTATAGAATAGCTGGAAAAAGAATTGCACATGGAAAAGATTAGACCAGCCTACATTCTCCTCAAAAAGTACTTTAAGCGTCTACAAATTATCTCTTCGAGATTGCATATTTCGTAGAATAAAGAAGGAAAATAATTCAAGATTGAAAAGATTCATTTCATTTATTTCACTGAACATAAAATTCTGCGGGCACATCCGTCCCTCAATTTACACGACACTTTTTTACGCGAGTCTATTTTTTACACGGCAAATTATAAATAGACAGCGGATTTTTATGCAGGACAGAAATTGCCTGCATCATTTTCAAGCAATAGAAATGGAATAGAAGGACCTTTTTTCAATTAATAGTTTTAGCTGTAGAGTAGATAATTTTAATACTAGTATTGACGTTAAGTCACTATTATTGATACGAAATCAATTTGACGTCACGTTACCACTAGCAACATTAAAACAGTGGGCATCACTTAAAGGTTAATAGATGAAAAATAATAATTGCAACGTTTAAGTTGTAACTACTCAGTTTTACTCCAAATGCTAAAACTGCAGTCTAATTATAGTAGTACACTATCTACTCGGTATTTGTTATACGCGATATCAATTTACGTGATCTGAATTTACACAGCCAGTAAATCTTTGTAATGTTTTCAAATTAGCCAAGAAAATGCGACAGTGCCATCACAGATATTGATCCAAACATTAAACAAAATTTAATGAAATGTTGCAACGAATATCAGCAAATTTATGAAAACATGGTATTGTAAAAGAAAATATTGAGAATAAAACATGCGAAAAGGTTTTCTTTGACGATGAAAATAAAGTCGAGCTTCCAAATATTTCAAGCAACGAAGATAATGAGTTTATGCTAATTAAAAAGAAAAGATTGATTGTTTTGAATTATAGTACCGATAGTGACACCGAATAAAATTTACTTTCATTTTCTGAAATGTCATAATTTTTTTTTATACCTACTTTTGTTTTCAGTATTTTGTCTTTCATACTTCCAGTCTCTACTTAAAACGAATCTACGTGAAACGGAGGATGGCTGCAAGTATTCATAAAATCCGTGTACAAGTTTCAATAGGATTTGTATCGGAAAGCAGTACTTCACGAATAATACCATATTGTCACGAAACTGACAAAATATGTGAAGCGTTTAATGAACAAAAACATAGATTTCGTGAATGCTGTGTTGTTCAATTATCATGCTGATGGTATTATCCCCTGTACCGAAATCATGTTATAAGAGCCACACGGAAATAATGATACAGTGAAATGCAATAATTACACATTAAACGTTCAATATATTTTGAAACTGATATTTTCATGGCGATCGACTATGGTTTCGTTGAAATTGGAGTTATCGACAGAATATTATGATTGTATTGGCTGACACTGAGTGAGTTCTTGACTTGAATGCTACGTTAAATTTTCGTTTCAGGCTCGGTTAAAAAAGTTAAAAAACGCGAGATTGTTAATTTTTCCACTCCAAACAAATGCAATTTTTAAATAGAAGTTTGCAAATATTGCCTAGTAAACTAGTTTCTTGAACACCTCGAAAAGATATAAGTCAATTGATCGGCTTTTAACAAAGTTAATTTGTTTTAAAAGGTCTTCCAAAATTGAATGAGACTCAGTGTATGTAACAACAGATTTTTTCGATAGATAATTTTGTTCTCTTACGAAAACGTTATTAGTCCTTTAAAAAAGAAAGCAATTGGTTCTGTTTTGTCCAGCCTCTATATAAGGTGTTTATCTTATCTTGCACATTAAAATATCTTCGTTATTTTTGTTGCTATGGAAAAATGTGTCGGGACAACTTCGTTTAGTTGAATGCTAAGAATATTGTGATCCATGCCTTTTTTCTCTCAAGGGCATTTTTTCCAGTATTGAAGAGAAGATCATCGCTATTTCTTCCTCATTAACCATCAATATTGTTTATAACGCAGCTTCGAGGTTATTTTATTACAAATTCAATGATCACTGATACTACGACCTTCAGAAAATAGGGGTGCATGTGCAGAAACTAATGATGACTTTCAATACTTGAACAAAATGGCCTCGAGAGAAAAAGAAACATGAATCAGAATATTCATAGCTCTGAATTAAATAGAGTTATCCAGACAAACTTTTTTATATCAGCAAAAATAACAGAAGATATTTTTATGTGCAGGATAAAATAAACCGCCTATACATATGTCGAATAAAGCAGTATAGTAATTCAATCGATACGTTGAATTTCCAGGAACTTCCCCATCAGAATGTGGTTCATGGAGTACAAAGACTACAATTACGGTGACGATCAAGGGAACGATTTTCACGCAGTAGGCCATTATACCCAAATCGTGTGGGCTTCGACGCATCTGGTCGGTTGTGGAGTCAGCCATTGCACAGGTGGCAAGGGTCCGCTCGGCAAGGACTTCTACATGTACGTCTGCAACTATGCACCAGCGTGAGTACACCAGAAAACAATATCACGATCTTCCGAAAGTTCACCTGTCCAATGAATGAACATGTGACAACAGCGAATTGAAATAAAACATTGATATCTCTTAGGGTCTTTCCACGTTGCTGTTTATACAGGGTGTCCCAGGTTTTAATGTTCAAACTTTGTCAGTGTATTCTATGGCACAAAGTATGAAAAAAAAGTTATGTAAACATAGGTCATACAGAGCTTTATTAAGAAGTTATAACAGAAATTCAGAATAGTAATAGTAATCAACTTGCTGTTACTGCGAGCATTGGCTTGAATAGATCAGCACATGCCGTGTGTTTATGTAAGCTGTGCTTATTAATACATTTCGAAATGTCTACCGTTGTTCACAATACATGATTGACATCGATCGAAGATCGAATTTATGACCGTGCGAATTTCGTTTCTATTCTCTTTCATTTCATTGAACGAATTTTTGTTATAACTTCTTAATAAAGCTCTATATGACCTATGTTTAC